TCGCTTTTGCTTTTGTGTTCTGGGGTCCGGGCTTGTGGGCTGGGGCTGGCTGGGGTTGGTGGGGTGGGTGGTGGCTGGGGTTGCGGGGGTCCGGGCCTAAGGCCTAGCTGGGCTCTGGCTTCTGGCTTAGGGCCACCGTAGGCTCTCCTCTCGGGATAATGTCTGTCCATGATTTTAACGATGGTGTCATCAGGAAGCACGCGAACAAACAATGGGAAGCCTCTCGCGGGCCTTTACTATTATTTTTTCGCACCCCCACCCCCCCGACCAGCCTTCCAAGAGATTTAATACAGCCGAGAAAACCTTTGCGAGTAAAGGACAGACTAATTAGATACCACTGCCGTGTGTGGCTGGAACATTGGCACGTGAAGTTTCCAGATGATGCTGATTGCTGTGTAAAAGCATTCTGTCTGAAGGTAGTGAGCTTCTGGAAATGATTAGAAACGATGGAATGGTTGCTGAATGGTGCTATCATGAAAGATGGGATCGATGTGAGAGGACTAGAAATTGCAACCCCTTGCATATATATATATATATATATATATAGCAGTCGGTTGATTTCCAAAAAAAATGTAGCCCAATTCTTTGGTCACAGTGAGCTGATTGCTCTCCCTCGAAAAAACTGTAGCCGCGGTCTTCGGCAAGCGTCAATCCATCGTCACAAAAAAAACCCTGTATCCCAAATGTTCGACAGCAGTCAATTGTTGACGAGTTGCAGCATGGCTTTACTGGTGTTGTGCTCGTCATGCTTTGCTGCTGCACGATCTTCTTTCATGGCTCGAAAGCGTAGACCATCTTCGGAGGCTTGAGTCAAGCGCTGCATGCCAGGCGGGAGGATGACCCGCATACGTTCCACAGTTTCACAGTAGTCACTTGTGCAAATGTTCTAGTTGTGCCTATTGTCATTAGAGCCATGTTCCCGTTTGGACCCTCTTCGGAAGGATAATCTTCTGTGTGTGCTCCACAGTTTCGTAGTGATGCAACTGGAAATTTCCTACGACAACTTCCAAGCATGTTTACCAATATCTTCCACCGCTCCTGTTGCTGCTTTCCTTGCTGTTGGCTTTTCGTGTGTCCTGCTGTTGTTCTCCTGAACCCTTGCCGCCATGTTTATGGTCCTACTGCTGCTGTTGCTCTTGAAGGAGGCTGGCCTAAGCCCTGTAGCTCACGTCGACAGCCATAGTTTCCATCAATGTCAGGTTCAACGACGCAGAAGGCGTGCCAAGGTGCAATGCCTCACTTTGGAAGCTACGAATATGCGCCAAGTAAGAACAGCCAGGTGAAGTTCCGTCGAGCTGCGTGGACCTAACAAACCCGAGCAGTGACTAGTCTGTGCTGGTAGCCGGTGTGATGATTGTGATGTGAGGCAAACAAGTGGAGCGTGCTTCGGGCCATGCACTGAGCATGATTTCGATTACAGTTCAGTTTCTGTTTGTTGTGAGCTTCAGGGAACATATCCCGACGTCGCACTGCCTGCCTCAGTTGGGTACTCAGAATGCGGGTTTAATTCACAAAATTACACAGGATTATGACTAGTTGGAGAGAAGATGAGCAACGCCACTTCAAAACAATCGACCAAAAGGTGAAGAAAGGGTAATCCAAAACAGTAAAGGCAAAAAAAAGGGTGAACGGTATAAATAGGAAAGGGGCGGAAAAGGGTTGATGAAAGTAGGAAAAAAAGATCGGAAAGGTGCTTCCCTTTTGGTTATCACCTCTATCTCCACCTTTTTTCTACTCTTTCTCTGCCTTTTATTTACCGTCTTCCACCTTTTTCCTACCGATGTTCTACCTTATTCTGCCTCGTTTCGAACTGTGTTTGTTCAAAGAAAACTCCACCTCATCGTGTGGTCTGTGTTTCGGTGGTATAAGGTGATCCGGAAAGTCTTCGGCCGAGAGGTCGGCAGCATTCCTGGGCGTGCTCGCTGTTGTGCAAATCTGTGAGCAGGCATCTCCCCAAGAACGACTTCGCTGGGCTTTTTTCTTAGTGTGCCAATGCCTACGCACCTTGTTTTTAGCTGTCGCGCCTGATGCGCCTGGAAACTGGAGGCTGCTGTCTGGGAAACACGAGACCAAGTGCCTGCCTCGCATAGCTTCACAGACGTAGATCGAACTAAACCCTACTTAATAAGCATTGGGGGAAGCCGAGGTGTCATTGCATGAGTTTCGCCAGAAGGCCCACGGCCTGGATATTCTTTCTAGGAAAATACCAGTTTCCAATTCCCCAACCCGGGATTCATATTCTTCCCCGGTACAACGAACTATTGTCGCAGGAGATGGTTGGGTCAAGAGTTGAGGAGCCAGAGATGGTTCCGGTCGACCCTGTGAAGGCCATTATGCGGTGCTAGCTTCTTTGCCAGACAATAGTAGAATCATGTAAAAACCGTGTGTGAACTAATACTTACAACCACATTGAGACCGTATTCAAACTAGACTGAGATGATAAACATATTTTTCGGAAGTCCTCACTGTAGCGAAGCATTGGAGGTCTGAAATGTAACGCATTGGTGCGACTCACAGCCGAGCAGGTGACGCCGGACGACCAGGCGTGCGTTTTTGCATTGGAAGGGTCCAGCATGCTAGCTTGGCGCCTTGATGGTGAGTGCAGGTCGCAATGAAGGATCCCCAACAGAATGACGTCTGGGCACTCGACTTTCTTGCCCAGATTAGCTTCGTCGTTGGACCAAACTTGATGTTGAACGAACCTGTAAGCCCGAGGCGCACCCGATCGATCCGGTGAAGGCCGTTATGCGGTATTGTTTCTCTGTGCAAGTGACTGCTAGTGTTGATGCTGTAGAGAATCATAATGCTTCATACTCACTTGCTCCCAGTTTTGTCTCGGGAATTGGTGATGTTTCTGCACGAGCAGGATGGATCTACATTCTATGCATGCATCGGGAAATGGTATAGGGTTTGGGTCCGGGGTTTTGGGGGGTTTTGCCGGGTTTTGGGGGGTTTTGCCGGGTTTGGGGGGGTTTTCGCTTTTGCTTTTGCTTTTTTGATTTTGGTATTTGGCTGGGCTGGGCTGGGTTGGGGGGCTGGGTGAACAGGGCTGGGCTGGGCTGCTGGGTAGAGGCCTGACTGGCTGGGCTGGTTGGGCTGGGGTTGGGGATCGGGGGCTGAAGCCTGCAAGCTAAATTCTGGGCTGGTGGCTGCTGGGGTGCTTGGGCTTGGGCTGGGCTTGGGCTGGGCTGGGCTGGGCTGGGCTGGACTTTGGATCGACACGTTTAATGAAACTTTGAAACTAATGAAAATCATTTCGAAGCGACATTCACACAATTTCTATTTATCCTGGTCTTGAGGGTTTAGGGTTTTGGGGTTTAGGGTTTAGGGGCTTGGGGGTTTAGGGTTTAGGGTTTTGGGGTTTAAAAAGGGTTTAGGGTTTAGGGCTGAGGGGTCTGGGTTTTGGAAAGCTAGGATGCCAAGTAGTACCCTTAGGGATCTATAAGGGTTCCTTAAAGGGATCTATAAGGGTTCTATAAAGGGTTTAGGGTTTCCGAAAATTAGGGGCCAGGATGCCCAGTAGTACCCTTATTCCCTTTTTCTAGTCCTAGGTTCCTTATAAAGTTACCCAATACCAAAAAGAGAGGCCTTTTTGTTCTTAGGTTACTGGGTATCCTAGGAAATCAAGCTCAAAAAGGAAAGCTGCTCAAAGCGTTTCGTTCAAAACTTTCGTTCAAAACTTTCGTTCAGAACTTTCGCTCAAAACTTTGGCTCGAAACGTTATTGGCACCCAAACCCGCAACAGTTTCTATAAACCCTTAAACCCTAAACCCCTAAGCCCTTAAACCCCAAACCGTAAGCCCTACACCGAAGGAGCAACGTCTCGCAGCCAAGAGCCTCTAACCTGGTGCAGGAGCTGAGGTGCGATCCTTTTGAGTTCCGTTGAGGGGTAGGAGTTTGGGCTCCTTTTAAAGGAATTTATGGTAGGGTTTTGTAAATGTCGGGACATGGGAGTTTCAGAAAAATAGGGGACCCCAAGAAAGGAAGACCGGACCCAGAAAAGGAGGATCCTTACTATAAGGACCCCAAAGTAAGGTACAACTTTCGGACGCTCCCCCCCTCCCCAAGCTCCCTGTAAGTTTCAACTTGTTGTTTAGGGTTTGGGGTTTACAGCGAACCCCAGGAAGATGGAACATGGATTTAGGATGATTAGTACTAGAATCCCTCATAGGGCATGAGGGTCAGAATGTTCCAATGTTCTGGCTTCTACTTTAGGGGTTGGGTCTCTTCAACTACTACCAAGATATGGATTTGCTGAGGGTGTCCTTGCAGTGCAGGACATGTGTAAGGTTGCATAGATGGCCAGTGTTGGCGAAGTCGAACTCATGGACACTACAGTTGTTCGGGTTTCAAGCTTCGGTTCAGGTTGTTGAACTGACACACACTAAACCTCGTCATCCAAAAATGGACGACTTCGTCACCCAAAGCTTGACCTGAGTTGCAGATATTTCTCTGTATACCCTAAACCCTCAACCCTCAACTCTGGAAATGCTTGAAATTCTCAAACCTTCCAAACCCATAGTTCAGCTCTACTGGTAATCTAGGGGTACTGACTAGTGACATCGCCTTAGGGTCGTTGTCTGTCTTTCTATCTATCCGTACTAGTAGAGTAGGTGTTCTTTAAGTTTTTTTGGGTAGTAGGTATCTACCTACCTATCCATCTGCCTATCTGTCTATCTGTCTGTAAGCCCATCTGTCTGTTCGTCCTTTCTATCCATCGGTGCATCGGTGCCTCCATATATCCATCCCTCCATCCATCCATTTCTTTGTCTGTACACTGTACATACATGTTATATGCATACACCACCACATACCCCGAGGTCTTATTCTCGTGTTACAGGCCCTGAGTTTAAATCAAAGCACATCCAACTCTCTAGGGGACAGGTTGAGCACTGCCCCCATACAGTAACAGTCTAAAATAGGGCTACAATTACTATGAATCTTATTCAACTGTAACTGAGTGGGGGAAGTACCCCAATGACAGGTATCGATTGCTTGGAATGGTCTTCTGCATCTTCCTGACGACGCCGCTGGCCTTGCTGCTCCTCTTCCAGGGTGCGGCACGGCCCTTAGGGGACCCTCTGGGTTCGGGCCTGTGCGTTTCAAGAGTTTTCGATTTAGGGGGTTGACGGTGTAGTGTTTCTGGCTTTGGGTGTCGAGTGTAACAAGCAGCGTTGGGGAATTCCTTGGAAACACATGTGCTTCAGGTTTTTGGAGCCCATCACCGGGGCCGAGGTTTTGTGATACCAAAGCCAACCATCTCCAAAATCGTTTAATCAAGTAATGTACCTTCATATGGGTGGTTGTCAAAATTGGGGTCCCTTTCTGGGTCCCTAATATAGTACGGCACCTAACATTTAGGGTGCCCAAAAAGGGACCCTAATTTTGACAACCACCCATATTATGTATTCCTGAAACCTTCATGATTGCGGGTCTCTTCGTTAATTCAGAAGTGCGCGTGGCCCTGGTAAGGGGCCCAGAACCGAAATCCTGGTTACTGGTTCAGGGGCTTTGGGATCTAGGCTCGAAAAATATGTGAGTTTTCCGTCTAGGATATTGTGGGGCCTGGAGTCTAGCCTATGGTTCTAAGGTCAGGGCTCGGGACTTTCCGGTTATATGCGGCGAGGGTTTTGAGGTTTCGAGGCATTGTTTTCAAGTTCTTCGGGCTTCGGGGCTAAGCACCTTCACCTACAATATCAAACCTTTATGTACTGTCCGAATATCCAACTAACCATCCAAATATACAGCCAACTATCCAACTATAGAACTTTGAACCCTAAACCCTAAAACCCTACTGTTACTTTTATGGACTCTACAAAACAGTCGGTTTTGTAGTTTAGTTCAGGTTAGGTCCGGCAGGGCGCAGGTTGCAACCTTGAGCCCGAAGACTTCGCTTAGAAGCTGCCCCCACCCTGTAATAGTGGCATAATAGGAATATAATAGGGCCCTACTATAGTCCTATATAATCCTTGTGGTCACTATTACAGGGTGGGGGCAGCTTCTAAAGCATAGCTTTGGGTGCAGGGCTTAGGGTTTAGGGCTCAGGGTTTAGGTCGTAGGGTTTAGGGCCTAAGGTTTGGGGTTTGGGGCTTATTTCATCTTAGTTTGACCACACCGAGCAGAGGAACCAGCCCAGACCTTCCCAAGTCGTTTTAAGTAAAAACCATTCCTTAACTCATGTTGCGGATCTTACAAAATGTTAAGACAAAGTCCTCGCCTAAAGGATATCGGAAGATTTGGGAGTAGCTTCCCAACCGTCGGAAAAGGTCCTAGGATAAACCGCTAAATCCTAAAGCCCCAAACCCGCTGTCCCTAGATCCACTAGACAAAAGCCACTTCGCACCAGGCCAGTTTCATAGAGGCCAGCGACGTACAATGCTCGGCCAACGACCGGCTTTTGATTCTATGCTACTTGGTCCTTACCTTATTGTTCCATGGACTCAGGTTTCAGGACGTCTGGCCCCTAAGACCACGCTGTGTAAGGCTTTAGAGTATTGGGATTCGGTATTCAGAGTTTAGTGATTCGTGTGGCTGAATGTAGGACATTGTAGGACCTTGTCGGGAAGCAGGTGCAGGTTGTTGGGTTGCAGGGCTGTAATGATGCATGACGACAAGGGATTGAATGTCACGGTTCAGGTGCGGGTCCAGGTTTTGGACCCACTGTGTGTGCAAGTCCGGAGAGGAATTAAGCGCCAACACCTCCGAATTGGGCTCAAACAGGTTAGCCATCCAAACCACGATCTTTTCAGATCAGTAGGCGTCCCTGTTGCGGGGTCCTTAACAATATCCTATAATAGAATATTTTCCTGTTTTAGGGTTTCATAATGTTGGCGCGGTGATGGGAAACGCAGCGTCCTGGCGGCACCGTGCCGCGCTTTCTCTCCTTCCTGCTTGCTTACCCAAGCGCCGCCCACTCCAGGCCGAGGAAGAGGCAGATTCTAGGTTGGATTTTGGAACATTTTTTATTTTCCTTATTTGGGTTTGGGTTTATAAGGGACCCTATATAGTGTTTAAAGGCCAACCCAGGATTCAGGTGAGAGTTTTCTGAGCTGTCCTGAGTGTGTCCGAACTGCGGCGAGGGTCTTTTGCGGTGGCGAGCATACGTTGATTCGAGATCCCAAGACACTGGATGTCTACCAGCTAGGTGCATGCGGGCTCGGATTCGATCATGATGCCGGAGCTTCAGCACAGGCTGACGACTACTTAAAACAGGTGCCCTTATCAGAGCCAGCCATTGCAGTGTTTCCTGGGTACTATCACAATTTCATCAAGACTACGCGAAGATGCTTCACCTACGGCTGCGGTCGTCAAGCACCGAATGATGGTCAGCTCCTGAACGGCAGCCTGAGCGAAGACACCTGGCCCACCGCCACGAAGCTGCGATTTGCTGAGGCAGCTGCAGGAGGTGGCACGGTTCTTTTTGCAGTTGTTTTTGGTTTCGGGTCTAGGGTTTTGGATTTAAGGGGGGGTTCAGGGGGTCTAGAACTCTGAACTCATGAGGGCTGTTCTAAACGATGGTCCATTCGTGTGTGCCGATAATCGTAAACTCCTCCTTACAAGAAGGGTTCGCAAAAGAGCCTCGATAACTTCCTTTCAGCACTCGGACGATCTGCATTTCTGTTTGAAGTCCTTTACTCTTTTCAGGATTCCTTTGAGGGTTCCTTCAGAGGTTCCTCTAAGTGCTCTCGGCCAGCCAGGACACCACAGCATCTGCCGCACTCGCAACGGAGACGTGTGGGCTTCTGGTGCTGGATGGCAGGGCCAAATGGGGAATGGTAGCCTTCAGTACAAGAATGAGAAGCCACAACGTGTAGACGGTCTGCCCAGGATATGTCGGATCGCGACAGGTTACTACCACATGGCAGCCTTGGCAGAAAACGGCGAGTGGTTCTTTTGGGGTTGCAACGAGCAGTTGCAGCTGGCCTCTTCCATCGGAGATCCGCAGATCAAGACCCCACAGCCTCTATCCAAGCTCCTCCCTGAGTTGAAGGATACCGTTAACGGTTCCTGTAAGGTTTTGGTCTACTAAAGGGTGCTTTCAAGGATTTGGAGTTCCTTTACGGGTTCGGTTCCTTTAAGGGTTTCGTTTAGCAAAGAGTGATTTCAAGGCTGTTGAGTTCCTTTGCGGGCTCCTTTCAGGGTTCCCTTTAAGGGTTTCGGGTTTAGGGTTTAGGGTTTAGGCTTTCAGGGTTCCCTTGAAGTTGAAGGAAAGAGAAATCACCAGCGTGGATGGCGGCTACGGCCACACGGTCTTGCTTACACGCGAGGGCACCGTCTATACCCTGGGGAACCACAGCGAAGCTTTGTTATCGTTGGGTAGCATTTTGATTTTCATGGGTACTGAACACAAATGAGCATTTTTGACGCCAACCTTATAAACCTTATAAACTTCTGAAAAACCCTAGGAACCCTCAACCCTACACCCGATAAGCCCTACACACCATCCCATGAACTAGGAAGGCCAAAAAGTGAAGATTGTGATACTACCCCCTGAATCCTAAACCCGAAACCCTGGCCGAATGGCTTGCCGGGACCTAGTCTGCAGTCGGAAAAAGTAGCTCAAAAACGAAAAACGAAAGCCTAGGAAGGCCAATGCAGCTTGGACCCTAAACCCTAAACCCCTAAACCCCTAAGCTCTAAACCCCTAAACCCTAAACCCCTAAACCCTAAACCCCTAAATCCGAAACCCTAGGAGGGCCAACGCAGCTTGGACCCTGACTTAGACGAGCCTCCTCCGATAAGCCCGGTCCTGGGCCTGTCTGGAGCTTCCATGGCAGCTTAGTAGCTGACTGGCTACACTTTACACTTTTTGGGATAATATTACTAGGATGCCCCGTAGTACCCTTATTCCCTTTTTGTAGTCCTAGGTTCCTTATAAAGTTACCCAATACCAAAAAGAGAGGCCTTTTTATTCTTAGGTTACTGGGTATCCTAGTTACACTTTTTGGGATAATATTACCTTTTACACTTTTTGGGAAAATATTACCCTCTATAAAACTAAGAGTGTACACTTTTGGGGATAACATTGCCCACTATAAAGTGTACACTTTTGGGGGGTTATGAACTCAGCAACTAAGGCAGTTGCAGGAAGCCACCATACGCTGGTGCTAGCTCCTTTACTGCTCTTCTATAGTTATTATGTGGGAATTTTGTTTTGTGTTTCTTTTTACTATACCACCTTAGGGGATTAATAAGAATAATGTGCCGGTCGGTTTAGGAATATGGGCTCCTTTAATGCGTCGGCTCGGGGGCTAATTCCGACCGGTACCAAAAATTTGGGCGGTCTAATTAATGCGTTTTTTTTGGCTGGGGGTATTTTCTGGGGGCGGGGCTGTGCTGTTTGCTGATGGTCAATCTTAAGGCAGCCACGACCTGAAGCCCCCACCCAAACCCTAAAACCCTGGCCCTGAAGACCTCAACTAGGCATACTTAAGCCAAAAACCTGAAGCCCCCACCCAAACCCTAAAACCCTGGCCCTGAAGATCTAAACTAGGCATACTTAAGCCTAACACCTGAAGCCCCCACCCAAACCCTAAAACCCTGGCCCTGAGGTTTTGTAGGCTTTCTAAGGGGCTCGGCAGGGCTTTCCTAAGGTTCAGGACAGGAATCTCAAGGTTTTCTAGGCTTTCTCAGGGGATTAGGAGAGCTTTCCTAAGGTTACAGGATTGGAATCTCAAGGTTTTGTAGGCTTTCTAAGGGGCTAAGAAGGGCTTTCCTTGCTTGCTGAGGGGTTAAGAAGGCTTTCCTAAGGTTTCTAGGCTTACTAATTAAGGGGTTAGGAAGGGTTTTCCTAAGGTTCAGGACAGGAATCTCAAGGCTTTCTAGGCTTACTAAGGGGATTAGGAGGGCTTTCCTAAGGTTACAGGATAGGAATTTCAAGGATATCGAGGCTTTCTAAGGGGTTCGGCAGGGCTTTCCTAAGGTTCAGGACAGGAATCTCAAGGTTTTCTAGGCTTTCTAAGGGGTTTGAGGCTTACTAAGGGGTGAGGGGAGGCTCGGGTTCTAGGTGGGGTTTACCTAAGGTTTGGGTCTTGGCGCTGAGAACTCCAACCTTTTTCTGAGGCACGGCAGGCTCAGGTCGAAGGTCGAACCTGAGCAGAATGGTGCTCTTAGTCTTTCTGTGCAGGTCTCAGGACATTCTGAGGATTCCCTGCGAAAGTGAATTAAAACCTCAGCTTGATGGACCCTGAGGTAGGGTGATCTAGGTTAATCAGTGGCTCTTTGACTACTTAGGGGCATTTAGTGACTTAGTTAACCACCTAATTAGGAAAACACTACTTAAACTAATAAAGGACACTAAACCCGAGCTTTAAACCCCAACCTTAAAAGGAGGCCCTCAGGTGCAAGTGCTGAGGATCCAAAAGCAGGAAGCTCAGGCTTCCTTAGGGGCCGCCTTGGCACCCTTCTTGGGAGCAGCCTTCGGCTCAGGCTTAGCCTCCTCAGTCGGCTCAGCTGCCTCAGTCAAAGTTCCTGGCCGGGGGCAGGAGCTCTTAGGCTTAGGCTAGAAACTTAAGGAAAACTGCAGACCCCAAGCCAGCCGGAAGCCTCGGCTGAGGGCTTCTTCTTCTCCTCAGGCTTGCCTGGCAGGTTTAGGGGTTTAAGTTTAGGGTTTCATTAGGGCTTAGGGCCCAAGCCAGCCTGAAGTGCTGCCTGCAGCCTCTGAGGGTGTTTCCTCAGGGATGACCTTCATCGTCTTGGGAGCATCCTTAGGCTCCTCCTCAGCTCCTGCAAAGAAACTCAGGCTGGTTTGCTTCCTCTAGGAACTTGACTCAGACGAGAGAAGGAGACTGAAGGCATATCATATATTTAATTATTGAGATTTGTAAGTATAATTAATTAATTAATTAATTAATTAATTAATTACTGAGGGCATAATTATGTATAATCAACTCCTGAGGGTCGGTGGTCTAATTAATGCGTTTTTTTCTGGCCCGGCTGGAGTTCTCAGGATCTGCCTGAGATTTCCCGATGCGTGGCCGGCTTCAAGTTTGTCTGATTCCTGAGCACGAAACCATACCGGGAGGCCTCCTGAGGCATCCTTTCCAGGTTCCGGGCCACCCGGCTCTCAGGCTTCCCCTTAAATTTCCCGATGCGTGGCCGGTTTCAGGTTTGTCTGATTCCTGAGCACGAAACCATACCGGGAAGCCTCCCTAGGCATCCTTTCAAGGTCCTCAGACACTGTGTCTCAGAACACCACAGCAAAAGGTCTCCCTCCCTCAGGGTCGCTGGTCTAATTAATGCGTTTTTTTTCTGGCCCGGCTGGAGTTCTCAGGATCTGCCTGAGATTTCCCGATGCGTGGCCGGTTTCAGGTTTGTCTGATTCTTGAGGACGAAACCATACCGGGAGGCCTCCTGAGGCATCCTTTCCAGGTTCCGGGCCACCCGGCTCTCAGGCTTCCCCTGAAAT